CAACAATCCCTTGAACTTAAGAAGCAAACTGTTTGGACATGCAGTCTAGCTCCTGTGTCCTGCATCTAGAAATGGCCTATGGTGGGTACCAAGGGAATAGCACAGAAAAATAGAGGAAAATATATTGTGACATTTTTCCTGTGGAATTCTGCTTGTATCCTTAAGATGATGCTGTATCATCTTAGCCTTATTTTCCTATGTTCAGATAGGTTCCATAGGGTGAGGATCTTTCTTTTTTTTCCTGTGTTAACTGTAACTTCTTTGGAAGTCTTTGCAAACCTAGCTGTGGAATTCCAAGCAGATCCATCACTTGGATCTCTTTATCCCCTTGCTTCAGAGAACCTTGAAGAACACCAAATAGTATTGCAAGGCAGGGTTTAGCTTACAAAAGCTGCATTACATCTTAGCCAATCTGTCTTTATGACTCCTGATTTTGTTCTCCCAGGTTTCCATCTGTTTGTCTGGGATTGCTGGGGCTGTCTGTAGTTTTCCTCTCTGTTCTGTTTTCCTGACAACTCCTGGTCAAAGCACTCCACAGCAGACAGGGACACTGTGTGTTGGTCATCTCTGTGCAGCTTCTCTGGTGTGGCCTGGCCTTCAGTGCCAGGCAGACAAAGGGATGTGTCCCTTCTCGGCAGTGCTGTGCAGCCCTGTGCTCTCCACTGCCCCCCTGGAGGGGGCTCAGCACCCAGGGATGCTGGTTCAGGGCCTGCTTCCACTCTGCCTGTGCTGTGGAGGCTGTTCCACAGCTGGCCCAGATGAAATCACCAGCTTTGCTTCTGCTGTGATGCTGCATCTCCATCCACATGGTGGTCAAAGGGCATCATTTGACATTTCATGTTTTGGTGTAATTTTCAGTGTGAAAAACATTTAACAGTCTAGTGGTTTTAAGGGTATTTAGCATAAGCACTGCCATTTGGCAGTCATTTTATAAGAGTCTTTGAATTTTATATTTTTCTCCTTCAGCAGAGAGAAATTTCACACCACCTTAGACATTTGTCCTTTCCTATTTCCTAGGGTTTTTAAAAGAATATTTCCTAGTTTTATATTAAACTAGATTGTCCTTAATTTTTTTCCTTTTTTTCTTTCAAAATCATATGTTCGTTATATGCAAGGTGTGCCTTTGCAGCAGGCAGCTGGAAATTCAAAGTGATCAGTATGAACTGGTAGTCCAGGGAAGACAGAAGTATTGGTACCTGTAAGGTTTCTGTAGTTCCTTTTGTTTGCTGTACCTTTTGCTGCCTTACAAGTACTCTTTGACTGTTTAACTGCTTTTTTTTTTTTAATCCCTAAGCTATGTTTTAAATTGAATTAGAAATTGTATCTCTTTGCATCAGATTGAATAACTAACTTTCATTATGGAAATTATTATCAGCATTTTTTTGAAGTTTTTGTGGCACTTAGAGTCAACTGACAGAACACTGCAAAGAAATCTATGCAAGACAACCATTGCTATGGAGCCAGGACATTCCTCTCTGTCAGCTCCAGCCTGAGTGTGATCTCCATATTCCAGGGGAATAAAGCTAGATGGCACAAGGCACATTTCATTGCTTACTGTTTAGATTCCCCTCACCCCATGTCCCAATGCTTCTCCAGCTATTTTTATCTTACTTGCAGCCTTAGAGGTATTTTGGGTAAAAATCACTTAGTTTCCTTTGAAGTCTGCCTGGAAAATGCAGCAGGACAAGTCCCAGAGAAGCAGCTCCATAAGGATTTTATTGGTTTACTGCTCTGTGTGAATGGACATGTGTTCTGCTGGACTGAGCCAGGGCTGCCAGTCAGCAGCCCCCAGTCTCTCCCAAATCTTGTTCCAAGGCTATAACTTGGTTTAATTTCTTAACCTCGCCTTTCCTCAGTTTCCTTATGAAGTGTTAACTCTCTGAGGTCTGCAGCACTTTGGGTGGAAGGTTTCTCCACGTGCACCAAGGTTTGCTTTGTACCATGGTGCTGTCACCATTGAGCCAACAGATCACAAAGCAGCTGTGGTAATTTTTGTTCTTGCAGAGATGTTTTATCATTCTCAATTCCAGCTGCACATATCATGGTGTAAAAACTACAGTTCTTCATGATGAAAAATATCTCCTGACAAAGGCAAGTGTAAAAGCCTAAAGGTATGCAAGGAGTTCAGAACTAAACTAACATAGATCTTGAAATTGCTGGTATCTGTAAACACTGTTTTGCAACACTTTTAATATGTGAAATGATGCGCTGCAGATGATGAATCAATCAAATTATAGTGAAGTGTGAGATGACAGCATAAAGCAGACAATGGCAGCAATGCCTAGTTTATACTACTTATCCCTAGGCTGACAGCATGTACTGTCATAAATCTGTTTGGTTTATAACTAGGCCATAAAACCTTACATCAGGCTGAAATGCAGCAGGATTCTGTAGTTCAAAAACTGTGCATTTATAGAGAAATACATCAGTGATTTGTTAATTAAAACTGCAGTACTTTAACAGTTATTTACATTTCTTTTGCACTCTTATAACTTGTGCTTTTTGGACTTAATTTATGTTCCCCGTAAATCTGTGTGATCTGTTTAAAACTTGCTGTCTCCTTGGCTTCATCAAATTTCTTTTTATATATACAGGTGTGACTTAGAAAATACTCCTTCATAATTTTTGTAATTACGTGGGGGACCTTGCTGAAACTTCACAGGAGGTTGATGGGACTAAAGTGAGTTGGGGTTTGTTTTGTTTAAAATGTGTGTATGAGGGTAGCAAGAACAGAGAGCTATTAACAGAAACTGAATAAGGAATGAGTTACAATGCTTGTCTTGGCTCTCTTAGGAGATTCAGTGTCCTTCCAGTTTATTCCATGTTTCTTCATATTCTTAATGCTTTCCATATGTACTTGACACTGAACAGTCTTGCAGAGAGTCTGGCAAGTCTCTGTTTTTGCAGAATACTAGAAGTAGACCAGTGTACTCTAAATGACCTAATTTTACCAATAGCATAGCTAAACATACAGCATACACATCCTGCAGCCCTTGACTGATGGAAAAACTAAGAGCTCTAGTTTAAAATGACAAGATCTTTTTATTATTGTATCAGTAATAAAACAGGGACAGAAGCATCAGAGGACCTACTGTGATCTGTACCATGTCTTGCAGTCACATTAGAAATGATCTGTAAATCAGTTTGACAGATTTCATCAATTGGGGCAATATATGCTGGATGCACAACCAGTACACATGTTGAAAGGGATGTTCAAACTGCCATTAGTTCAAAACCCATTCTGTTTTTTTATAGAATGCAGTGAAATCAAGTGGAAGGAATAAAACACCATCAGTGAAAGAAGGAGAGGTAAACACCAGCTGTCAAGAGAAAGGTAACATGCTCTTGGCATTCAGTTTGTAAGCTGAGTGGTGTGTACCAGGAAGAACACCAAAATAAAGCTTTTAAGGCAAAATACATTAGAGATTCTTGCTTTTTTGGGCAGGGCTGCAGCAAGACAGTGGCTCTTGGAGACTTGCACTTCAGGTCCAGGCAGTGTTACAGAGGTGACACCAGTTTGCCCCTGCCAGGACAGTTCACTTTGTCCCCAGAGAATCAGGGTATCTGTGGGGCAGCTGCAGCTGTTGCTGTCCAGTTTTGGAAAGAGGAAGACCACGAGTTATAAGGGGGTTTAAATGAGAGTGTTTGGTCCCAGTTCTGTGTCTCACCTCTGAGGTTCAGCTTCTTGGATTTAGGTGTTTAAAGGTAGTATCTTCGTTCTAGCTTTTGCACTTGTCTAATGAGAGACACCTTTCATCACCTGAGATGTGTTTCATGCAATAGTTACTGATTACTTCAAAAAAAAATTGAGATTTGATATTTGTGAAGCAAAAGGAGAAGTAATACTGTAACTGAAATCTTCTTTATTCACACGGCACACGTAACCCAGTAATTCCCACTGTGAGGTTCCATACACAGCAAGAGCATTGTCCTTCCCCTTTGTCTTGCAGGGACTCACCAAGCACGTACAGGTACTTCATGGGGAAAAAAAAGCAAAAAAAAAAAGCAGAGTTTAACTTTGCTCCTTTCAGGAGGACAATTTTGTACTCGTGGAATGCTTTTCACATCCCAGCTTCAGTGTGATCCAGAATCTCTGAGATCAGTGATGATCTTGGGACAGTGGAAGGCAGAGATTTTTGCAGGTGCGGTGCTGTGATCTTTCTGGCTACTATGACTGGTATTGTAGTACTGGTAGTTTACCTTCTTCATTCCAGAAATTTGGTCAACATTGTGCTGGGCAGCTGGGGCCTGGTTCATAGTCTGTTGCCTCAGGAGGGTTGCTGGCAGTCTCTTGTAGGAATACAAGAGGCAAAACAGAACACAACCCCTCCTTAGCTTGTCTTCACCGAGAAGCTGCTGCCATGGCCAGTGGGGGGTTTGGCTTTTTTTGGATAAATTTTGTTTGCCCTCCTTCCTCCCACCCCTATTTAAAAAACAGCAGCTCGATAGCACAGCAGCAAATTCATATTAATATCAAACAGAATTTTCACTACCATTTTCGTATTAACATAAGATGTTAGAATGTAAAGTGAGCTGGATCTGCACATGGGACCACTCTTGCTGTTAAAGGCTTTAGGCTGGAACAGAGCCCAAAATTCTTAGAAGAAATCCAACATTTCTTGATCAAATATTAATTACATGCCATATAGAATTATATATTTCAAACAACTTTTATAAATAAAAAGCTAGGCCTTTCAAACCATCAGCAATATTAATTTTGGATTTAAAATATTATGAAAGATAAACAACCACATAACTGTGAATTAGAAAAATACTGGCCTAGGTTGCGTAAAAACCTTCATTAAATAAATACAGAAAGTTTTCACTATGAAAATTCAGTGGCATCGTACTTAAAAAAGCCATAATGAATTAACGGTCCCTTAATGACACTCAGGTTGTGTTTCACAAATCACAAACACACACAGGACGTCAGATGGCCCCAAAAGGTGATGGACTGGGTTCATACAGTTTAACAGCAAGTACTGGGGGTGTGTGCTGCTCCTCCATGCCAGCTCCTGGCTGCTGCTGCGGCTGCCAGCTGCACACCCTGGACCCTTCTCCTCCAGGCTGCCGTGCCGGCCCCAAGCTCCCCAGGCTGCTGCTGCGGGAGGTGCCGTGGCTGGGCTGTGTGTCCGTGCCTCAGGCCAGCGGCCTGGCCCCGGCGGGGGTTGCAGGGAGCGGGTCTGGTTTCCAGTCTGGCTGGAAGAAGCGGATGTCGAATGTCCGTGCCCAGTTCTCGAAGACGCGCTTCTCGGTGATGAAGCGGTGGTGGCTGCCCTTGCGGCCCCGCTCGTGGGAAATGTACATGGTGCACTCGTCTGGCCCCAGAGGTTCATAGTAGTGATAAGGTACTGAAAGATGATTAGGATCCCTGTGGAAAAAAGAAAATAGATGGAAGCCCAAGATGTTCTTTCTTGTTGATTGAAAAGATGCTATCTTTAATGAACTGATGGGCTCAAATCCACTTTTTCTCCCAGTTAAACTATGTAGCTGGCTTTTTTCCTTGCATATCTAATACATCAGAATGGGGCAAAGGTGTTGTCTTTGTCTTTTGCTCTCCTTTAATCCTCTTCCTCCCAGTTAAATGAAGGACAGCAGAAGCTTAGAAACAAGGGAGAGTTCTGCAGGGCTGTGTTACTAGTATGAAATTTGAAGTAAACTGCTTAAAAGAGATCTAAATCTAGATTGTGATTTGTTAAAGGTCTCACAGAGGTATTTCCTGCACTGGGGCAGAAAGAGAAGATGACAGAGGTGGTTATCTGTGTCACTTCAGCTCAGCTGAACGTTCCCAGCGTGCTGCGCGAGGTTCCGAGAGCAGAGCTTCAGTGAGGGTCTGCACACCAGGTCAGTGGTACAGCCTGCTGCTGCTGGCATTTTAATCAAACGTCTGATGCACAAATGAGTTCTTTATTTTACAACAGCAGCTTTTATGTATCTAAGCTAAAAATTAAAACAGTTCACCCATAGTATCCATCTGACCTTGTGAACCTGTTCACATTTCCCAGCGGGAGACCAGTGACTCGTGGTGACACATTGGCTATGCCAAACACCAATTAGATACTTAGAATAAAGTTCATTTTAGCAGTTCTGACCTCAGTGCTACCATGTAACATTCTGTAAATGGCACATCTGTATTATAATAAGCCAGAGCAATTCATTCTCCTTTTGTTTTAATCTCTACCTGCACCCATGATGGTTTTTTACTTTGGGCACAGGCGTTTTGGGCTCACAGGAACTCTCACACTCCCTGTGTCATAAATACTAAGTAAGCTGTCCCAGACAGAATTACCCAATTGTGTCCCTCTCTTCCTGATTGCTACCAGCTATTTTGCTGTGGCAGAAAATTTCCCAATGTCAGCATTTAGTGAAGCCTTGGAGCTGCTCTGTGTTACAGCCTGAGCTGAACAGGACCCCAGCACAGAGCAAGAAATCTGATACAGATTCAGGGCTGTCAGCTCTAATATACAGTTGATTATTTTCATTTTGAAGAGCTAATATTTAAGGTCGCTTTCAATAGAATGCATCCACAATCTGTCAGTAGTCTGTGCTGGTCATTATTTTTACTGTGTAATTCTGTCACCTACGCAGTTTTCTAATTTTTCTTATTTTGCCATTATCCTTATTGTATATGCAGAGATAATGTATAATATTGCTGCTGCTTTCCATTTGTGCCTTAGATTAACGTTTTAATTCGATCAGTCTGCCTTCCTTGTAACACAACATGGTGATCAATCTTGCAAGACCAGAACAACAATAAAATTACATTTCTAGAATAAGATGGATTCTAAACTTATTAAATATATTCTCAATGGAATACATAAGAGTGAAACAAAATCCTTCATCACCTCACCTTCAGAAAATGTATTTGCAATCTAAAGCTGCCCTTCATGTAGAAATTTATTATTTCTAAACTACAAATATTAGAACTCAATCTTCAATTAATTTTTCACTTTTTTGATACATTGGACCTCTTATTGTCACTTAAATGAATAATTTCCATGGTTACTATAAATCTAATAGGATACATTTTCATGTGATGTGTTTTTGTTAAGAACTACTAAACAAATAGGCCTCTGCCTCTCATTCAGACTGCTCTTCCTTCTTGCACTAAAGCTGGATTTTACTTTTGGGTCCTCAACCTGTATTGCTTGGTATAAATTTACTGCTTTAAAGTTATTACGATTAGTAAAGTCGAAATCTTATCTCCAACAGACCTGGGGAAAAATGCAGCCCCAGTTAACAGGGCAAAGTGAGCCTGTGAGGCTGCAGGTCCCTCCAGGCAAGGTGTTTTTGAAGCCAGGGATTCCACATTCCATGGAAGGCTCTGAACTAACACCAGGGTGTTCTCAGTGGATGCCCTTAGCTCCTGCCAGGCTGTAGCAGCTCACTGCATCCTGTGATGCCACCAGAAACAGCCCAGAGGCTCCGGGCACAGGGCCTGGCAGGTGAGAGGGGCAGGAGCTCAGAGCAGGCAGCCTGTGGGGCTCAGGGCTTGTGTGCAGCTCTGCTGGCTGAACTGGGGGTGACATCAGGGCAGGAACGGGGGCTGGTGGCTACAGACCTCTCTAGGGCTACTCTGCAGCTGACTGAGGTTCTAAGGCTAAATTCCAAAAGCTGTCATTTAGATTTGGAATTCTGAAGGGTATTTACATATGGAGGACCTTCTCATTTTATGAGAGTTCTGGATTCCCCCAGATTGTATGCTAGTAAGCTTTGGATTTGAATTCTGGCTTGAGTACACCATAACCCAAATTAACTGTGCTGTGTTATCTTCTAACACTGCAATTAGCTTGTGTCACCAGCAAATGAAATGCATGAGTAATTTCTATACGGAAATTGCTTGCCACCTCATTTATTAACATTAAAACAGATGCTGTTTTATCACTGACTGATACTGGACATTAATCAGTATTTTGTCAGACTCTGCATGCATATTAATAGCACAGCTGGGAGGAATCTCGGGAAGTTCCTCTGTAAAATATCCTGTGCTTCCTGCCTGGTCACCTGCCAGCACAGCACCCGTGGAATGCTTGTACCCCTGTCAGTCAGACACTGTTTGCCACTTGAGTGCACATTTTCCCACAGATGGTATCCACCTACAGCAAAAGCTAGAGGAACAGCACAAAAAAAAGGCAGGGAATTCAGGCCACCCCATATCACATTCTGGTCAGCCTCTTTCCTTAGAAATCAAGAGCCATAATAAATCCTCTAAAACTATAGGTACTCACACACTTTATAAAATAATTAATATTTTGATGTGTGAGTAACGTTTCATTTATATGTTGAGTGATGGGCAAGGTGCTGTGTCAGGACCATGAAGATTTCTAGATAATCTTTTGCCTTCTATTCCCAGGATCTCTTTTCCCTGACCTCCATAATTAGTCCTTTTCCAAACCATGTATGCATTTTGTTCTTAAGCTGATGAGGTGAGGCATATGGACCAAAGAGCAGGTCTAGCTCACATACAGCTTACAGTTTCTCATAAGCTTCAGGAAATGTAATCAGCAACAACTGATACTTTGCATTTGATTTAAAGGAACTGAAAGTGGAGACAGAGAGAGGTAAGAAAACACTGAAGTATTTAAAATACCAATTTTCAGGTGAATTATCATGGAAAATGACCTGGCAGTCAAATGAGGATTCTGACAGGAAAATTATCTGGTTCAATAACTGGAACAAAAATTATTCATATTAGTTAAAATAAGGCTCAGAATTAAGTTCTAAGCTTCTGGGAGTTCCAGAAGGCCCATGAAGAGGAGAAGAGTTAAAGAGGGTTCATCTCACCAACCCCTTGAGTTTTCTTTGTGTACAGAAGTACCCTGTGAACCACAGGGAACCAACCTTTCTGTCCCTGCTGCCCATAATGCCACAGACAGAGGCTGGAATTCCTACAAACTCACTAAGGCTTGTCTTGTCCTTCCCAGCCCTGCTGCTGAGCACCCACAAAGGGAAGCAGCAGCCTGCAGTGCCTTCAGGAATTGCCATGGTATCTGGGCACCACTGCCAGGCTGCTGCTGAAGGGAGGCAAGAGGAGAATCCAGCATGTCCCAGATCTGGAGTGAGTGCTGTGCATGCAGGGCTGCCAAAGGGAGTTCTGAGAGGGAAGTGCTTCCCATCTGGAAAGGCTTGGATTGGATCCCTGGGCACTGGAAAAATACAGCAAGATGGTTTGTGTGGCTTGGGCAAAAGAGGGAGAGGTGTGCACACTTCACAAAAATGTTTGCAGTGTGCATGGAAGCTCAGGCTTTCATCTTACTACAGAATGCACAAGACAGCATGAGAGGAGTATCAAGCCATTAACCCTTACTACAGCATAAATCTGCAAGCAAAGGGGTTTGAAATTACTTATAGCTTTGCTGTAAAGTATTAGAAATTTATAATAATTAGGACACCAAGTCCAGTTCAGCTATGAAACTCAGTATCCAGTGAAAGTAAATAGAAATGAATCTAAAACACCTTGTTGCAACTAATAGTGACAAATATTTTAGTCTGTGCTCCAGACTCCTTCACTAAACTATTTTTCCTGCACGGGTGCAAAGCAGTTTGGTTAATGATCTTAAGCTAATAATTTGTAGCAGAATCAACAGCATGAGATTCCTGGTACCTTTGAGGTGTCCTTCACGTTACAAATGTGACACTAATTTAGTTCCATGACAGTGATCACCACACTCATTACTTATTCCACAAATTAATACTTCAAAATGAATGGGTATCTATCTGCTGAGTTATAAATTTGGTGATACTAATTATGAACAGAAATAAGATTTTTTTCAATCTTAATGATTCCTTAGTTGCACAGCAAGTAGGATACCCACACCAATCTAGCACACACACATTTCAGTTGTTTTGTTGGGACTTTTTGTTTTGATTTTTTTTATTTTAATAGTAGATTCTTATCCTGTCTGACTGAAAACCAGGAAATATGGCTTACAATTACAGAATATTTTTTTTCTGCTATTCTGTTCTGATGTCTTATTTCTTTGAAAGAAGACACTTCTTAATGAGTGGCTGAAGAGCCAGCTAAGAAGGTTAACTCTATTTAAGGCAAGAAACTCCTTTCACAGATCTTCATGGACAGCTTCTTCCAGGCATGGCAACTACAGTTTTCATCCCCTGGGGAATCAAGCTGAAGTAGAGACATTTCATATTACTTTGATTATGAAATGACCTCTTCCCTTTTTACAACCAGGTGTGTGTACTTTATGTTAAGATTTTTTATGCAGGCTGTAAGACCAATTACATCTTTCACTGGTAGGACTGATCTACAGCCTTTCTTGTGTTATAATTTAAGTCCATTTGATTTCATTGTACTGATTCCATGAAAGCCTTTCATATGCTCTCATATGCAGTGACACTTTTAGTCTCTCTCAAACAGTTTGTTTGGGTTAAGCTGGATTTTTAAAAATGTGTATCTAAACTATTCTGACTTTGTCTGAAAAGTCAGGATTACACATTATTTTGCAGTAAAATGCTGTCTTCTGTATTTTTAGATCATCAGTTTAAGAATTACTTCCATGTGCCATGGGAATGCAGCCACTTCTGGAGTAAGACAGACCAGCCACTTAACAGAAACTGAAGTAGCATGTGTTGGCCAACTGAGATGACAGAGGAGCAAGATGCTGTGCTGTGGAAGGTATTTGTGTTGTCTGGCATATCTGATCTAGTCTGCTATTTTCCTTGGAGAATTCATTATGAAGTCTGGCAGTACATCACAGCATTTATCATCAGTATTTTGTTATAATTTGTAGAAATTCTCACAAAGTGGAGTTTAGTGTTGACATTTTATGCTGTGATTTCTTTGGGGATTTCTATAACGTGCCCAAGACAAATGCAGATTCCTGAACGATCCTTGTAAGTGCTCAGAGGAAAGTCAAAGCAGTCCCATTCTTTGAGACAAACCCAGCACTGCAGCCTTGCCCTCCCTGCCCCTGAAAGGCATCTGGAATTACCCAGTGAACCAGACCTGAGGCAGATCACAGCATTTGCAACAGAAAATTTAAGCAAGTACTTCTTGAAGAGGGGTTTGTGAGCAGGTGATGAAACGCTGCACTGAGGCCTCGTTCCAGACTGGCTCCAGCTCTTCCTGGGTCACCCAGCAGGACAAATGGCATCAGCACTGGCTGTGGGCAGGAACCACTCAGTGCTGGGTGGGCAGGTGAGACTTATGCCAGCATCAAGACTGCTGATGTAATACAAATGTGTCTGTGTTCCTACTGGTATCCTGGCTAATGCAATTTTGGTACTTTTGGTCTAGCACTAGAAGTTCTGAAGTCTCTCCCTGTGTCACTGATCCATAGTGGGAAAGGCTTAACCAGGACCTGGGGTCTGGGTCCTGAGCACGGCTGGAGGCAGAACAGGGCTGGAAAAGGGGCACAGGCTGTTCTTTGCACAGCAGCTTCCACTGCCACAATTGTGCTGCCTCTGCCTCCTGTGACCCCCCTGCCACGCCCAAAACTGGGGATCACAGGATGGATTCTCTGGGGCCAAATTCATGGGGACAGATTTCCTGGGCACTGTGTAGGAAACTGCAAGATTGGCATTCATGTGACAGAGGTACAATAATGTTAATTTGAGTTGCACAGAAAGTTCAATTTAGAAACTAGTCACTGTGAGAACACTGTTCCTCTATTAATTTGGGGGGAACTCGAAAAACAAATTAAAAGTAATATTTTCCAGTACTTCTTTCTTCAGATTAATTTCATGCCAATTATTGCATTACTTTTAGCTGATAAATATTCAGAGACTAAAATAAAGCAACAAGATGGATTAATTCTCCCACAGTACAAACAAATTTTTAAAATATTTTATATAACATAATTAAATGCTGTTTGTTGTTTTCAGAATGAGATCATGGGACATCTAATTAATTGCTTTAAGAGGACTAAAGACTTGTTGCAGAGGAAAAAGATTAAAAGATTCAGATATTTATCTGTAACATTACCTTTTTTGGCTAATAATGGTTCTAAAATAAATCCTACCTGCAGAAATCCGGTGGCACCATGCCATAAACATTTATCCTGTCACAGAGCTCTAATGCGATAGTCATTGTGAACCAGCCCGTGCTAAGCCAAGTGTTGGATATCTTCCTGAAAGCAAAAACATAATTAAGTTTCTAAGCTGGCAAATAATTCCTGAGATTTATTTATTTATTTATTCATTCATTCATTCTGAAGCAATTTCTTGGCATTTTCTTCATTCTTGTAAAAGGCTTTGAAAACTGGGAAACCAAGACTACTTTGCTCGTCCATCTTTTAATGATTTTTCTGGTGCCTCCTGTCAGTGGAGTAATCTGGGCAGGAACTTTCCTTCAGTAATTAATTTTAGGCACAGCAACATTAATATTTAGCTGACCTTTTGACTTGGTTTCTAGAAGCTCCCAGCCCCACACTGTGACTGCTGGTAGGAAACTCTTTAGTTGGTGGCAGCTATGACTGTCCCATAGCCAGCCTGGGAAATCATCATCCTAGGAACCACCCCAGGTGCCATCCCTGCCCGAGGGGAGCCTGACAATGGGAATGACAGCACAGGCAGGGAGCCTTTAAGGCAGCACACCTCTTCTGCCTTCACTGCAGGCTGGGATATGGCTTTAAAAAAAGCTCCGCTGATCCCAGTATTAATTAGACAGAGTAGGAGATACCACCCTGTAACTGCTCACAGATGTAAGGGATTTAAAAGTTGTGTTTAAATTTTGCTGTATCACAGGTCCTTATCTGCAAAGGTTCACTCAAAGGTCTCCTTTCAAATTCTATTAAAGAATAAGACAGGAATTCTCCCTAATGGCTCCTCACCCAGCTAGGAAAGTCCCACAGGAAGAAGTTCAGGCTTGTGTTATCTGCAGCCCAAAGAGTCCTCAGATCCCTGCTGACAGCCTGTCACAGACAGGCTCTCCCTTCATCTCCTGCTAAAGCTGAGGCACCAGGGGAGCAAGTGCAGGCTCTGGGAAGGCCTGGGCACTTCACCTGAATGTATTAATGTAGGACCTACATTAATCCCATTCCTCCACACCTGGATCTGCCAGATACCTGTGAAGCTTTGCCACAGCCCCCCAAAAAAGCACAGCAGAAAACATGAGGTTCTCTTCAGAGAAGTCACCAGGGAATCCCAGATCCTGACCCAAGTTTCCAAGGCCATCTTTTACAGTTTACCCAGTGATAGCAGGATGTGGAACAGTCTTGGAAGCAGGGACCTGAGGCCACAAAAGCCACTGCAAGCAAGTGCCAGCAATCACTAACATCTAATTCAGCTGACAGGAGCCACCACGCAGCTTCCCAAGCTAATGCTAAACAAGCTGGTTCCAAGTAGGTCACCTACAGGGCAGTAGGAGGAGATGTTTTGAGCACTGTCAGATTGAGGAATGCCTTGTACCAAGGTTTCCCATTTCCTCAGGGAATCAGACTACTACAAGGAAAAAAAAAAGAAGTGGTGGTGTCTGTGCCAGCTGCTTAAAAGACAGTTCTAAACATAAGGGAATTCTTTGACTAAATATGCCTGGAGGATGCTGAGGAGCCTAGGTAATTTGTCCTGTCCTTAGTGGATCACCTGATAATGTATAAACTCCCGAAACACACATTTTTACTGCTCCTGACACACAGACTTTCAAGCTAAGCTAGCATTTGGAGAATGACATGTTATAAGCATCTCATTATTTCCAATTATGGGGCCTTATTTATTTTCTGACTGTGCACTGAAGCTTGGGGGTGCTGGTGCAGTTTGTCACAATGTCATAGCTGGGTCATAAGCTCAGTGGAGGCCTTCAGGCACAGCAACAATATAAAACAGTGAGAATTTTTGGCTCAAAATTATTAGGAAAGAGCATGGTAGGGTAACCTAAAAAATGTACTTCTCTGCCACCTAAGAGATTCTGAGCTCTGAATCACTAGATAATTCAGGAACATGTTCAGGCTGAGTGGTTTGGAGCTTGCACAAGTCTACTGTTCCAGGTGCCCAACACTTACATTCCAAAACCAAGGGAGCAATTGCAGCCAGACACAACCAAAGCCTTGCACAGGTCAGGGCACCAGCCAGGCTCTCTGCTTTATTTTCTGGGTTAGGTTTCTCTCTGTTTACACACACATAGGTTGTCATTTAGTGTTTTCCAGAAACAGAAAAACAACTGAATATAACTAAGCTGGCTTAGAAGCTGAATAATCAAATAAAGATTCAAAAATTCATTCAAGTACCACTCTGCCCTCTTTAAATACCATGTGTGTAGGACACTGACACAGAAACAGGGTTACAGTGTCTTTTCCTGCATTTCCTACAAGATCTGAGCAAGAGTCAAACAGAAGGATGCTGTTTTTATACCTAATCAGCAGTAATGAGAGAATATGAAGAACTGTCATGTGCTTATTAGGGGAAATCATCAGATTTTTTTTATATGATGAACTAACACACTGTGCTGATAATTCTGTAGTGCACACTAAATTACAATTAAAGGCCTTTCTGCTCCACCAGAATCTCATTTATAATCTCTTTGGAAATACTCTTCCTGCAGTTATTTAATTTATGCTGCTTTTATCTAATTACTATAATATTGGTTCTGAATCGTATTTTCTTAATGTACCTTTATTCAATTATAAAGTTATTTTCAAGTAGAGTTACTTTATAATGCCAAATATATTGCTCTGCAGCCTTTGTATTTCACCATGCTATTTACCTGGCAACGTTTTCTGGAAGTTTTTCTTAATTTCAAAATAATTTTTTTCCAAAAAACACAACACATCCAATTACCTTTCATCATTTTCAAGACAGAAATTAATAGTCTGATCCTTGCAACCTTGCAATCATGCTTCTCTCTCTTTCTTTTGTTTTTTTGTAGGCACTAATGTCAAGAGCTCAGCAGAAACCCCCTGGGGAACAGCAGCATTCTGGGCTATACAATGTTCTGCTCCTGCCCCCACAGTGAAGTTTTTCCCTTACAAATGATTTCCTATCCATGTTTCATTTGCCTTTCTTCTGTGCAGCTTATTCATTTATTTTCATCTCCTGTTTTAATCTTCTTAGCCTTTCAAGTATGCTGTCTGTGCCCTCTAAAGGAGTGGTTCATTCAGAGCAGAGCCTGCAGTTTATTAAAATCAAGAGGGCCTGTTCCTCAGGCTGACTTTTGCTGGCATCTGAGTGCCCTTGATTCACACTGGGAGTTCAGGGTGCCCATGACTGAGTTCACTATAAACTTGTTACAATGTCATTAATGGCTCAAATGCCTTGAGAATATTTCAGGACGTGAGCCTGGTGCCTGTGCAGAAAAATAAATGTTTTCATCACACTCACTACAGGCCTCTGGCTCTGGATGGGTGATGCAGAACCAGAAAGAGCAGCTTGCCTGAAATTGCACAGCATGTGTCAAAAAAAGAACAGGATCCTGGCAATGTCAGGGAAGGAAGGGGACCCTGGCTCCCCATGGCAGAACTGAAGTTCTGAGAGTGAAGCAGGAATGGAAGCTGTTCCTCAGAACTGGGGACAGCACATGATCCTACCCTGGATCACCAAAAGCACAGTCTGGGAGAGGAGGTGGCAGTGTGCATTCCTTGTGTCCAGGGCCTCCCCCTGGGGTTTTAGGTGGCCAGGTTACAGTGCAATTACAGCTTTGTTGACTTTAATGCCTTTGTAAATACTGAGCACACAGATAACCCTCTGCACATTTCCTGAAGGGTTCAAATGCTTAATTCACCTTCTCACTTTGCTTTACTCTGGAAAAGACAAACATATCACAACTGGCAGGGTATCTCCCCTTGTTATCCTTCCTTCTTGTTCTGGCAGAAACCCCAATACACCAATTGGAAGATGAAGAGAAGAACCTTTAATGTTACAAAACTGACCAAGTTACTCTGTGCTTTTGTTTGTGCCTGAGTCAGCCACAAACTCAGATCCACTATAACTGAACAGAGCTCTGCAAGCAAACCATGTGGAGTGTGACAAAGGCAGCAAATGCCAAGCAAACATTGCCTTCAGCCAGGAGGATACAGCAGTTTCCTCTAACACTGGTTCTGCCTTTCTCATGTAGCCCAGAAAATGAAATCTATGCTCAACTCCACAACAGGATTGTTTCCTGTTCAAGCTTTGGGGTGTGTGTGTTTTTATTTGTAAGGTAGCACATCTGACTGTAAGTTACTGCACAATAAACATTTGTATCTAAGTGGGGACCCTGTGCCATTTTTACAGCAGCATATTTAATAAGTAAAAAACAGAACTTCATTAAAAACAAATGTCTTTCGTGCTGGGAAGTCTTTAGTTTGAATGCCCATTTTCAAACATTATATGTGAAAATGCTCAAGTACTGCAGTGGGTCACTTACTACAAATTTCATTTGAAGATCAGCCTACAAGTCTCATAAACAGTGTCATAAAGATGTAACTATCATCATAACTTTCCATTTTCCAGTTGCAAATGTAAGATGAACTGTTCTGAAGCACCTAATGTATGACTAATGTTTATTTGTTTTACAAGAAGCTTTACAGCTGCAATGTTCCAAAAATGCTTAAATTCAATAAACAGCTATTATAATTCACTGAATGGTGGCATTTCCTCTATAAGAAAACATAACCTATCCATTCTAATTTTTCAGAGTCAGTGAAAAAAACTTTAATGTATATTACCCCAAAGTGAGATTTAAACAGTTCCTGCCTCCTTGACTCTATAAACATTACATCCAGACTATGATATTCTAGACTGATGAGGCAATACCCCATACAAATCACTTTGATGCGTATTTTTTACTTACGTTACCACTGATGTTATTTGGCATGTCATGCCACATTACAACTCATGAGGCAGAGGATTTAATGGGCAGGATTGTCCCTCTGAGAGATCTGAAATTGGTATATATAAACTGCATTATTTTACTACTCTGTGACATCCCCTAGGTGTATCCATGTAAGTTCTCACCTGTCTTTTCCAGTCTCCCGTTTAAAAAGGTCATCAAATTGAAGCATCTTGTGGCGAGAAATCATATACACTTTTAGCTGAGGCAGTATCTGGTTCATCAGCTGCAGGTTATTGTACACCAAGCCTTTGCCGTCTCTCCTCATGTAGCTGCTGGGGCCCCAGAAGATGAACACGGCACCATGGCTCATGTTGAGGAGTTCGTTGCGGTTCCGCAGGATCCTCTGGATGCTGGAGTGCGCGATGACCCGCAGGCTGGTTTTGTTGCCGACGTCTCTGCCGTAGCCGCGCGTGGGCGCGTCGTTCATGCGGATGACGCAGTCGCTCTCGTCGATCCTGTGCCCCTGCCCGCTGCCCAGCAGGTGCCCGGAGCTGGTGACCAGCGCGCAGCTCTTGCAGTGCATCCTCAGCGGCTGCAAAGACACACTGCACGTCAGCTGCAGCCTCTTCCCTTTCTCTGCACTGCTCTGCCTTACACGCTCGTGCCGTATTTCACAGCAAAAACCTCCGAGCAATGTGCAGAAATCTCTCCCAGCAGTCTGCCCAAATAGCTGGGGACCCATTACCTGTACATGTTTGGGGGGAATATGGTGTAGATGTACAGCCCTTGGAGTTCCTCTGTGGAATCTCTCTGTGTAAATCCTCCTCTCCACTGCTGCTTCAGAAACAGAAATCACAACAGCCTCTCTACTCTTCCCAACTGCTTAGGATTGTACTTCTTCCACTTGCTATAACAGCTATAATTACAGTATTTTTTATTCTTCCACTTCCTTTTTTTTCCAGGAAATAATAAATCCTAAGTCTTCATAAGTTCATGTGTTTAGCTGTTCAACCCTGGGGTCAGAACATTTTGCTACAGGAAGAGATTGATACCCTGGCCCAATGCTTCCATGCTATTTGCAAGTTGTGCCACAACCACTGTGATGCTCTTGTACCTCCTTTATGGTTCAACAGTCAGAGCTGGTCAGTAATGTGTGTATTCTACATGACAGTGAGTTAGTGCACTGAACTTTTGCTACATTGTCAGGTCATGTTTGAAAGTTACTCAGTAAAATGGAATGGGAGGTGCCTGTTCAGTGAGTGCTGACCTAATGGAAGCAGAAGAGTAAAACAAGCTTTCATGAAAATGAAAATGCACGATAAATCATGTTACTGAAGTATGCCACCACAGGTATCAATTATGGAGGAGTGTGTCACTATCTACTGCTCAGCATGAGAAGTAAAAGGAGCAAGGGTTAAAAGTATTCCCAAAGTGCTTCTTTCTAACAAGAATACCATAAACTATGAGGTAAATAAAGACTGTTTGAGGGTATGCCTTGGTAGCCCTCCAGGAAATAGTATCTTGCACTTGGTGTGTATCTAAGTGTCTTTGAAAAACAACGAACAACAACAACAAAGCAAACAAACAACAATGCCCACCCACCCCTGAAAAAAACCCAACAAAAAAACCCATCAGATGAACCCCTGGCACAGAGAGTGAACTGCAGTTGCTTAATCATTCTGATCTACACATACACAGGAATCCAATGACTACATCAGTCTGCAGTGAGGCGCAGCTTTAAACTCTAAAGCTGAAAAGGATGCAAGATGTAGGTTTGACACAACCTCAGGCCCCTGTTTGAAAACGCTTTGGCCCAGAGTACTTGATGAGAGTGTTTTACTGTAGTAACTCGGTTTTAATTCTGAAGGTATTAAGTGGTTACAGTTATAGTCTGAGATTCTTTTTTTTCTGTGAGACTAGCTCATGAATGCTTAATGCTTTTTAATTAAAGAAAAAAAAGTATACAATCTGCACAGCGATTCAACCAATAAGCCTTGTATCTCCATCTCCCCCAATAAACAAAGTCCATTTCACATCTGTGGACTATAATCCAGGGCTAATGGTATGGGTGGAAATGTTCATGCCTTTGTGAGCCAAGGTTCCTAATGTAGTATTTACATGCATTTTCCTTTAAGCTTTCATCTGCCACTTTGATGAATTACCTAGTGAAAGGCTCTAAGGTGAACTGGCTGCTCCACCACCATGCTTAGGAAAGCAAGACAAGGTGCTAATGAGGTTAAAGGAAATATAGTCAGCACCAATGTTAACTCACACAGGTTTGAATATCCACATAGCAAGGCATTTTCACCTAAACAATCTCTGATGGTTTCTGGCCTACTGAGCTACAACTTCCTTGTTTCTTTTAAAAAAGCCTGCCACGGTATCTGTCAATTGTTAGGAAAAAAGGAAGCAGATCTGTGGAAACTTGGGGAGGGGTCTGAGGCTACCTATGAACATTAACACCCGCCAGAACATCTGTCCCAGATCTTGTGTGAAACATTTTCCTTCTGGGAAAAAGTCTTTAGACTGAAACAGTCAGGTATTGCCCAGCCACTTCCTGAATGATGCATGGGGGCTGAGCCCTTGTAGCTGCTCTAGGCAAGTAATTTTCAGTTGCCTCACTCAGATTCCTTCAGCTGAAGTCTACAAAACTCGCACCTAAAAATTATCAGAGGAATTCACAGGGAACAGCCACAACATTCTCACACCAGCTGTTTATAATGCTTTGACAACAGTGAGAGCAAGGGGGGGAAATGCCACTGGCTGTAATATCATCTCACTGGGAGGCAGCAGTGGCACCAGAAATGTCACCTACTTAAGCAATAATAATGGAAGCACAAGGCAGTTCTTTGGGATTGATGACCAGCTGGAAAAAGTTGATGGCCTGAGAATAACCAGGGGCCATTAAGCCAGAAGAACATTAACTCCACAGAAAACGCTGTTACAGTAATTATTACAGTGATATTTTGGGGAAAAAAGCAAAGTGAAAAGAAAGCAAACCCCATGAAATATGAGCTATATTTCAGGAGCCTTGCTTCAAAAAGGATAGGGTGAGAGGCAGGCGAGTTTTATAGCATCTTGTTAATTACTTTGAAGTGTAACCTATCATGCATGTAAAAGCAGCTGACATTGAATTGTACCCACTGTTAATAAGCAGCCACAGTTCATGTGTTGCCTGAACTCCATGGACAGCACCTCTGTGACAGGGCAGAGCACATGGCTACTGCTGCCACACAGATCAGGCACTTGGACAGCACATGAGCCAAGTACTGTCCAAAAAAATCGCCCAAATCACCTCTCAGTTCCAGTCATCTCAAGACACACGTGGAGAGAGGGAGAGCAGAGGTTACAGTACAGGTTCACAGTGTAGAGCCCCAGAAGATGGTGTTTTTCAAGGATAGATGGGCTATCCCAAGGGAATGAAGGCAGCAGGGGAACTGTCATGGGATAAACCCCATAACAGCACCTCTGTGCCCATGAGTAAGTGCAGCTTCACACAGCTACAAGTATTCCCAGAGGCCAAATGACTCCTAGCAACTCCCACTTCCAGAGATTAGCCCCAAAGTGCTGCTGCTCTATCACAAATACCTGATTTGGTTAATGAAACAAAAAACAATGCCATGGTGGTTTCTGTATTTTTCAATTTGAGGTAATTTGCTCTGTTATTGACTTTAAAATCTACATTGTCCAATGATCGAAAAATGTTATTTTCAGACACTTTAATGCTCAAGTGCTCAAGAAGAATAAATTGAAAAATGTTGTTCCTGATACAAAATAAGTTATTCTCAGACATAATTATTTTCTTTGTGATAAAATCAAATAAATTTTTATGCATATAGAAGTCTCTTGATTTTTAAAGCCAAGATTTAGACAAGAAGAGAGCTCTCTCCAGTAAAATCATGAACACTGTAAAACACACTTTTTCTTAAACTGAGTACTTAATGACCTACTTTCAAGACCCCTGGGTTCAGATCACTCCATTATCAGTAGCGTAAAAATTTCTGTTCTATAAATAAATGCCAGAGTATTTTATCTTTGCAATGATGACCTGGCCACAACAACAAAACTAAATCAAACCAAACAAGCAAACCAACCTCTCCAAAAAAACCCAAACCAAACCAAAAAACATGACCTGCAGTGAGAACAGCTCACTACTGAGTTCAGCAGAAAAAGACCACCTGTCAGTTCATGAACACCAGCATTCCTCATGGATACATCTGGAAATATCACAGATGACTTCAAAGTGTATTGGGAGACATGAGATACCATGAAAGGTTAAAGAATATCCAAATTTGTTTTGGAGGGACGACCTTTAACTAAGCACTTGAGACAAAGTGCAAAATCCTTCTCTTGCACTGCAACACCTCTGTTGTTGGCCAGTGTTTGTCTGGTGCCAGAGCTGGGATTGGAGGCTACAGAGCTGCTCCCCTCTGCAGTCACCAGCCACTGAACTGTATTACTGAACCAACAGCCTCTCTGCAGCAGCTCCCAAGCTGACTGCACAAGTAAAAGCAGTGCTACAAATAAAAAGACTGATGTACAGGAAAGCAAATCTGTTCCCATGTTCAACTGAATTAATTCAGTTGAATTCACTATGCTAATGGTTGAAAAAGCACACATAGACCCTGTAAGAGCCAGTCTTATCAGCTGAGGAGAAAGTGACCTTATTCCAGAGCTTGCTTTCTCTTTTTGTTACAAAGCAGGTGACTTCTTTGGGAGGAGTTTCATGTCTCCCCCACATGGTGCCCATTGTGCCAAGCACAACAACTTGTGACACTCACTGTAAGTTACCTCAATATTTGCTTTTAATGTTCCTTGCCTTGTGCACAGAACTTAACCAACACTTCCTACATGATGCTAATGAACCCTGAGTTCACACCATGTTCAATGCCATTTGTTAATTATGGCTTGCTCTTGATTGCTGCATCATCAGCCACCAGCAAAACCACTAAATATTTAAGGCTTTGCCAGTGATACAATATTTTGTCCTGGCAGCTTCAATTTTTTTTTTTAGTTTCTTGTAGCTATGAGCAGCTCTCGGGTTTCTCGCAAGCTGCTGGCTTGGAACCTGCTCTTCCAGGCTGGCTGCTCCTTCCCAGCACTCCTCTCCTAGAGAGGTGGAGGACAATCCCCTGTCACAACTATATCCCGAGCTGTGCAGGAGCTCCAGCCATGCCCAGCCCACTGCTGGCACATCACAAACAGCTGAATGCTCCAGCTCTGGTGAGCCCCTGTCCTTGTGCACTGCCCCAGGTGCAAAGCTGCTCATGCCATTATGTCCATCCCTCGTGACAAGCCACCTGTATTGTTTCTATCACTGTGCCTCCCTCTTTAGTATTTTCCCTAAAAGACTGAAAACTGTAAGGCCAAATCTGCTTTTCTTTGAGAGATTCCCAACAACCTCCTTGAAGTAGAACAGAAACCCTGAGGCTTCACATTTGCCAAGTAACTTGTGTTCTGTAAGCCAATGCAGCAAGCTGTGGGGCTCAAGCTGTCTCATTACTGAAGCACAGCTGTGCACTTCAGAAGTGATTTCCACAATGCAAGGACTCTGGGAGACATGATCCTGTGAAAATAATGAAGGTCTCCTGA